AATAGGTGCAGATGGTGCTTTGTGTGAATTTACATTTTAAAATGTTTCACATTGGAGGGCTTGTTTTCACATTTTGGTCAGTTTATTTCACAACATGTTATCTTCTTATGGATTTATGAGATACATTATTTTAAAATTATTGAAAGATGATATTGAGGTGTCCTTCTTAAGCTTACTCACTTGACAAAAATATGTATAAGAGGTAAAATATACAAAGACACCCACTGCCTGACAGAATAAGGTCAACTCTTCCAGGCACCAGAAAGAGAAGATGTAAAGACAAGGATTTTGCAGACACTGAAGTATAACTCCAACGTGATGGAGGGGATAGGCAGGAGCCAAGGGAGTCCATGGATTCATCTCCTCCTCTTTGCAAGCAATGAGTACTACATGACTTAAACTAGTCCCCAAGGGCAGAAGAAGGGCTTCATTATTTGAGAAATGCAGGTGAACTTGAGAGTTGATTGCTGCCTAGACCCATGACTGTGGACTTGGAGCCTCCAAGGAAGAAGGTAGCCTGGCCTCACTGCTGGCTTGATGGATGGGCCTGGGACATTCTCTGCCTCATCAAGCACCAGAAGTCAGTGCAGTGCACTCAGAAGTAGAGACTTGACTGGTGACAGATGAGGGAGCTGCAAACCTGCCAGATGAGAAATCAGGACAAAGCCTCCCTGGATTGAACCCACAGAAACATAGGAGGAGAGAAATACCGAGAGTCAGTATAGAGACCTTGGGAGAGTTTTGTGACAAGGGGACAAGAGAATCAGACGGGAGGAGAGCAACATGAGGGGTCTGGAGAGGATTTGGGGTATGGTTTCAAGAGAAATTTGTGGACAGCAGATGGTACTATAAGTGCAGTTGTCAAATAGGAAAATGAATCATGCAAAAAAGAGATGGGATTTTTTTCTGGAGCCGTGGACCTGGCTAGGTAGGAGTGAAGGTGTTCTACACAAGGTAGAGGTGTGGTCTTGACAGAGTACGTGCACGGCTGGACACGTTTCCCTCCAAACAGAGACAAATGAAAGAGAATCATCTTGGAACCATGTTGGGATCTTCCTTTTTAGCTTTTTTGTTTTTATTAGTACACAGGAATTATATGGAATTTACAGAATGTTGGATTTCATTGTGGCATGTTCATACGTAAACATAACCTATTTTAATCATCTCTACCTCACCTTTCCCTCCTTCCCCTCCCCCAACCCCCTTTATCATCTCTAATAATCTCCCTACTATTTTCATATCATCTTTTTTTGTTGTTGCCATGTTTGAGATAAAAGGCTCATGATCCCAGCCTTTTTGAGTTTGGATTATTTTGCTTAACACCATGAACTACAGTTCCATCCATTTTCCACCCAATGGCATGATTTCATTCTTTAAGTGTAATGTACAATTCCATTGTGTATATAAACCACATTTTCTTTTTACAGGTGCATATTAACTAGTATTCAGTTTTGGTTTCATAATTGCCTGTTTGCACGTGCTTATAACAGAGTTTGATCAAAACAAGTCGAGCTTTTTAACCTGATGCAGCCTCGTCGTCCATTCTTGCTGTTGTGGCCTGGGCTATCCAGTCCTATTCAGGAAGTCACTGCCTGCCAAGTCATCACTGTCTTGTCGCACACCGGCTGTTGAGGTGCCTGCACATGCCTCTCCTGGCCAGGGTTGCTGGGTTGCTCTGGGTCTTCCCTTCTGACTTCCCAGATGTCAAGACGTGGTGGAGAGGAGCAGTGCCTGTGATGTGTGCTAGCACCAGGAGAGGAAGTTGG